GTGCAGGGTGCTTTAGAGCCACAAAATTGTTACATGGCTTACATGTCCAGCGCCAACACAGGCGTTCAGTAAATGTTTGTACAAGCTTGCACGCTTTCCAAGAGCTCGTAAAAAGACGGGGACAGGGGGATGATTACACAGCAGGCTCATGAGAAACAAAACCCAAGATGTAATGTTGCTCTCCCCAGATGAGTGCAAAGTTACCCCGAGGTTATGATCATGGGTTTAAGAGTCCCTGGGCCTTAGTGGCTTAGTGGTTATGTGTTGGGCCTGGTGGCATAATGGTTACTTGCAGAACCCTGGTGGCGCTGTAGTTACGTGTAAGGTTGTTGACTTCAAGGTCAAGCCATTTGAAATCACCAGCCACTCCGAGGCAGAAAGACGGGGCTTTTTATTCTGTAAAGAGGGACAGTCTTGGAAACTCACAGGGGCAGTTCCACCCTGTCCTATAGGGTCGCTGTAAATCCACATTGATAGCAGGGTTTTGGGGGGAGGGGTGAAGGGGGTGGGGGAGGGGCTTGTTGGCAATAACTGGCTGTGAAAATTTGGCGAGGGGCTCTGGCCTCTTGAGCCTCAGTTTCCTCATCTGCCAAATGGGGATGCTAGCTGTCATACAAAGAGCCCCAGTGGTGCAGTGGTTAAGTGCTCTGCTGTGAACCAAAAGGTCAGTGGTTCAAATCCACCAAGGGAGAAGGATGTGGCAATTCTGCTTCCGATTTACCCGAAACCCTGTGGGGTAGCTCTACTCTGTCCAGAGAAGAGATAGAAGTTGTCAAAGATTTCATCTTGCTTGGATCCACAATCAAGACTCATGGAAGGAGCAGTCACGAGATCAAACCATGCATTGCATTAGGTGAATCTGCTGCATAAGACCTCTTCAACGTGCGGAGAAGCAAAGATGGCACTCTGAGCCCTCAGGTGTGCCTGACCCATGCCATGGTATTCTTCATGCCTCAAATGCATGTGGAAGTTGGACAGGGAATAAGGAAGACCGGAGAAGAATCGATGCCTTTGAATGACGGTGCTGGGGAAGAACCTTGAAAGTCCCACGGAGAGCCAGGAGAACCATCAGCTCTGTCGTGGACGAAGTAGTCAGAGAGCTCCTGGGAGGCCAGGATGGGGAAACTTCGTCTCACAGACTTTGGACCTATTGTCAGGAGAGACCAGTCCCTGGAGAAGGACACCGTGCTCGCTAAAGTAGAGGGGCAGCCCGAAAGAGGAAGACCCTTGATCAGGTGGATGGGCACAATGGCTGCCCCAGTGGGCTCAAACTTAAGAACAATGGTGAGGGTGGCGCCTTATGACGGGCAGTGCTTTGATCTGTGGTGCATCGTGTCGCTTTGAGTTGAAACTGACTTGCTGGCTGTGGGTTGGCTGATGCTGCTATAGTTTTGGGTTTTTTTGTTGTTGTTAACTATAGTCAAGCCATCCCTCCCCTCCTGGAAGCCCCAAGCACAGCAGAATGCAATGCTGCCCAGGCCAGAATTCCCCACGAGGTTACCCACCTCAAGACCCAGAGTGGAACAGGGGTAACCTGAGGTCACTGAACCAGTGCTAGAACTCAGTCTCCTGACTCCAGTCCAGCCACGGAGAGAGAGAGCTGAACCAGCCCTACCAGGGTACCCCGTCCCTCTGTCCTCTCTCCACCGTGATCTTGATAGTAACAGTTATGTGGGGGCTGAGATATCAGCTTGGTTGCCCACAGAAGGGTTAGAGGTTTGCGTTCTCCCAGAGGCGTCTCCAAAGAAAGGTGTGGTGATCAGCGGCCACGTAATCATCTGTTACCGACCTTCTGGTATAGTGGCTACATGTTGGGCTGCAAACTGCAGTTCAAAACCACCAGCTGCTCCACAGGAGATCAGGAGATCAATGGGGCTTTCTACTCCGGGAAAGAGTTATGGCATTGGAAATGCACAGGGACAGTTCTAGCTTGTCCTATAGGGTCACTATGAGTCAACCGCTTGATGAATTTCCACTGAGCCCCACCTTCAGGCACCCTGGTGGCACTGTGGGTGAGGTGTTGGGCTGCTAACCACAAGGTTGGTGGTTCAAACCCACCAGCCCCTCCAAGGGAAAAAGGAGGCTGTCTGTTACCATAAAGCTTTGACAGCCTGGGAAACCCACAGGAGCAGTTCAACTGGGCCCTACAGGGTGGTTATGAGTTGGAATCAGCTTGATAATAGT